CAGCTTTGGTAAGCCGCTGTGAACTGCTGCGGCTCTTGCTTCTTGTTGCGCGTCGCTTCCTCGCTCCAGTCCACTTCGTCTGCCTCGATCATCTTGCGCTTCATTGTCGACATTGCCGCATCACGAATCTTTTCGCCATTCGTCTCCCGTCACTCGTTCTGTTTCGCCTTTTCTTCTTTGCCTGCTTGCTTTCGACTCGATGCAGCTTCAATCTAAACAGTTCATTTTCTCTCAATCTCACCGTCACGTGGATTCATACCAGGTCGTGGATATCCTGCAGAAGTTGCTCGCGTTCCTCGTACTCTTCCTCTGTCCCCGAAGCGCGTAGCGCGGCCATTGTGTCTTCATGAAACGCCGTCATCAAGTCGTCAAATCGCTTTCGGGTGACATTGACGGTGATCCCGTCTCCAATGATGCGCTGGAGATGCTCTGTGACCTCTGTCCATCGCTTGCGGACCTCTCCGCGAGGTGCCTCAAATGGTCTTACGTGTTTGACCTCCTTTAGTAAGTCAACATCCGTGCAACCCTTAAATCGGAACGCGGTTTTGCGCCTTTGGTTGGACTGTACAGCGGTCTCGGTGTCGTCTTCCATTGTCCAATGATGAATGTTTCTCACAGTGAATTTTATTGTTTCTGTCAGGTGTACTGACGACGACTTTTCTCGAACAAATTTCATTGTGTGTCGCTCACAGTGATTTTCTCAGACGTAATTTTACTTTGCAAAATCACTCTAATGTCATTGATTTTTGATGTGAAGAAAAGTTAGGCCACTTGAGAAAATGTATTTTTGTTTTCCAAACAAGTACATTGAATTTAGTACTTCGTCTTGTTGCCTTTCTTCTCAACGACGCCCAAGCAATGGTTAGGCATGCTTTGAATGGGGTTAGTGACGATGTCAGGACTAATTTTTAGCCAAGCATCCTCAACCCACAAGGAATTTTCGGTCCAAAAACTGCTTACTGTTTACTTGACGAGCAAGAATGGCCCACAGGTTCTCAATAAAGTTAAGGTCTGGAGAACGAGCTGGCAAATCCATAACCCCAATTTATTGTCTTCAAACCATTTCTTAGTTTCATGGCTGACGTGAATGGATGCGTAGTCTTGCTGGAACGTAAAATCAGGGTCGTAATGCACATGATCAAAAGCCAGAATGAAGTCGGAGAGAGTAACGGTATAGTCGTAACTTTTCTGCTTGCCTTCATCAATCTTCAACTCGGAAAGGCCCTTGGTACCCCACACCATAACAGTTCCACCTCCAAATTGGCGCCGAGAAAACACTTGCTCTTCGTGATGCAAGTGATGCCAGTAGCATTGCCAGCCATATGAACCGTCAAGATTGAACTACTTTTCATCTGAGAAGATGACAGAATCCCAATCTTATAGTTTCTTGATGGCTTGAGAAGCAAACTGGAGTCTTGATTCACGGTAAGCCTTCGTAAGAGGTGGTTGACTAAGACATTACTTGAATTGAAACTTCGGGTGGCCATGGAGGAGTGCTGGGCTCATCGGAGAGATATCGGGAAGTCAAGGGAAGTTTTGAGCTTGCGGCAAGACAATTTGCCTTGTCGCAGCTTCCCGAAACAACAATCTTCTAGCTGTTGGCGTAAGTTTGCTGGGTCTACCAGAGGCCATGGCTGTCCCATTAAGAACCCATGTTGGCCTGATAATTGCAAACGACGGTGCGTAAGTGTCCGATTTAAACCCCAATTGCGCCAGGAGCACACCGTGCGGTGAGAAATGCAAGAATTTGGGTTCGATCGACCTCGGTAAGTTTATTCGCGCGTCCCATGCGTTTTTGGGAAGTAGAGCAAATTTTGTGCGGATATGGCTGCTTGAGGATGGTCCAAAGGTGTCGGTGGCAAGTTTCCAAATGAAAAGCCTATATTTTCATCGTCACTTTATGCAAAGTGGGTGAAGTGGCCTATCATTTTTTCGCGCAATTTTTGTGGACTTCTTGGATCATCTCGATATTTCTCGAATGAAACATTCTCTCAAAACTCTCTGGTGCAGACGAGGAGCACCGCGAGAAACACATTCTGCTCGACGACATCGTGACCCTCTTGGAGGATCTGAAGCGCGACCCAGGCGCCAAGTCCAAGCCCAGCACTGACGCCAAGCCCGCCAGCACAGCGAGCGACAAAGACAAGGCGGATCAAGGCGGGCTGATCATCCGAGAAATGGTAATGCAAACGATGAAACGCCGCGCCGACGTGACGACAGAGGGCGGCGAACTAAAAGAGAAGACCGCTGTCGAGGGTCGCCGCAGCAGTCTAGCTACGGCCATCGAGGTGGACTCCGAGCGAGACAGGGCCATTCGCGAAAAGAGATTGAGTTCAACAGGTACAAATTCGATTTAGAATTGAAACAGCGTGAGCTAGACAGGGAGGAGCGCAAAGCAGAGCGAGAGCATCAAGCTGCACTTGCAAAAATTGAAAGCGAAAAAATGATCAACTTGATCAATGCGGCGCTCAGTAGCAGAAAGTAGATGGACTACCTGGGTTTGCGATAACATGAATTGCCTTCATTCATTTTGAATTGTGTTGTTGGATTGTTGTACAAACTCGAACTCAAAATTATTGTCCTCGGTCATACGATTTGATTTAATCTACAAGTACTAAGTACTCTTCAAGAGTTGGCGGGACAAGTGCAAAGTACGTGGAGATTTGACTTCCACCGTTGTAGCAGCAATTGCAATTTGTCAGAAACATAGCCACGAGCACGACTGTCCCGAC